TCATCTCTCTCCCTTGGAGGGGCTGGTGGTTTCAAACTGCTGACCTTGAGGTTAGCAGCCCAGCTGGTAACCCACTATACCACCTGGGCTCCTTGTCTCCTTCCCAAAGTAACCAGGAATTGGCATTCCTCACTTGAGTTTCATATCTTCATTGACGCACTGCCTTTCTTCCAGGCCCCGACCCTGCACATTTCCTTTTATTTCCAAGTTACCCTGCAATGGCCTAATCTTTAGAAATAGTTCTCGTGGATGCCCCTAAGTATTGTCTTCAATATTTTTAATCATGTTATTTGAAGTATGTAGCATCATCAAACTTGGATATCAACTTGGATATCTCCTCTCATTCAACTCTAAAACCAAACAAATAGGTACAAAATCACAAAATAAATCAAATTCAAAATAACGTCTCCAGAAGCTGTTGTGTTGACTACGCTGCCATGGTCACCATGGTACCTACACCAAACCCAAACCAAACTCACTGCCATCGAGTTGATGCTGAATCATAGCAACCCTATAGGAAAGAGTAGAAACTGCCTCGTGGGTTTCCGAGACCATAACTCTCTAGGGGACTAGAAAGCCTTGTCTTTCTGCCTCCAAGCTTCTAATGCTTTCACACTGCTGACCACATGACTCGTAGTCCCTCTACCACCAGGGCTCCTCTGGTACTATGGTTTTCTGGAATCTATGTGCTTACATGGTAGCGACCCTATGCACTAGAACAGTCCGGACTAGAGGGCAGTGAGCTTGGCTTTTGGTTTGATAGACTATGACATGGGCAGATGGCCAATTTCCCCATGATTTTTCACTGTTGGAACTTCCACAGAATCTTGCCTTAAAATAGTTACTTATGAGGAAATAGGTTTCCACTCCGATGTGGATGCCTTCTCCATCACAAGCCCTTCTCTGCTCTTTGCTCATCAGCAAGGCCGTAAGTTCAAAGGGAGAGATGCATCTGGGCAATGAAACCAGACAATCACATGGGAACACAGCTCGAAAGACTGATCTGGGTTCTCCATCACAAGCCCTTCTCTGCTCTTTGCTCATCAGCAAGGCCGTAAGTTCAAAGGGAGAGATGCATCTGGGCAATGAAACCAGACAATCACATGGGAACACAGCTCGAAAGACTGATCTGGGCAAGTCTGAACTTTCTTAGATGAAGATTTAAAAAATATATGTCAACTGAAAGATAGATGTCCTTAGGGGAGGACTGGGGAAGAAAGGGGGAACTGATCACAAGGCTCAACCTAGAACCCCCTCCCAGGGGGACAAATAACAGAAAAGTGGGTGAGAGGTGAAGGAGGACGATGTAAGATATGGAAATAGTAATCTATAACTCATCAAGGGCTCGTGAGGGTGGGTGGGCAGGGGAGGGAGGGGGAAAATGGGGAGCTGATACCGGGGGGCTCAAGGGGGAAGAGAATGCTTTGAAAATGATGATGGCGGCCTATGTGCAAATGTGCTTGACACACTGGAGGAATGTATGGATTGTGATAAGAGATGTAAGAGCCCCCAATAAAATTTTTTTTTCCCAGTCATTTTATTAGGGGCTCATACAACTCCCATCACAATCCATACATACATCAATTGTGTAAAGCGCATTTGTACATTCATTGCCCTCATCATTCTCAAAATATTTCCTCTCCACTTAGCCCCCGGCATTAGGTCCTCATTTTTCCTCTCCCTCCCCACTCCCCCCTCCCTCATGAGCCCTCGATAACCTATAAATTATTATTTTGTCATATCTTGCCTAAAAATATATTTTTTTAAGAGTGGATTACTACCAGTCCCCTAACCAGCCTTGGCAGGGTAGCCTACCATAGGGGCTTCTCTGGGTGTATCCTTGATGGGTATTGAGATACTAGGATCCCATATGCATGAGTCATGCTCTGACTGCCTTGGTCGGAGGGCCCTGGACCTATTTGGCAAGCTCTGTGTCTAGCATAATACGCATGTCCCAACCATGATCCCATTGCTATTTCTGTAGTCCTGTCTGTGACTTTGATGTCTTGATCTGCCACAGTCATGTTTCTGTCCTCTCAGGTCCCATTGAAGCCACTGGTTCCCAGTAAACCCTCGATGTCATGATGACCTGGTGCTAATTGCCTCCCTCATCTGATATGCGGTTGTCCTGTTTGACTTAATAAATATCTTCCTTAAATTAAAAAAAAAGAAAGCTGGATTTCTGAAAACAAAAACATTTAATCCTAGCTTTATCTGTGTTGCTGTGGTCCCATAGTCATGCTTCTATTCATTTTCTTACTTCTGACTTTCACGTATTTTTGCCTCTGCATTTCCTAACGCCAGTGAGAACCAGCAGACCTTGCCCTGTAAACTGTTTCCAGTCCCCAGGGGCTCACTCACTCATCACTGCCGATTCTGTCGATTCCAATCCTTTGCCACCCTGTGGAGTTACATAACCTGGTGTCAATTTGGGACTTGAGAGGATTAAGAGTGGAGGGGTGGAGTATAGGCTGTCAATCGGGTCAAAGCCAATGAGGCCTCTGTTTGGGCATGGCCTTCTCCTGAGAATTCTGGGAACTCTTGTATTTTCCTCATTGAAGGTGGAAGACATCTCTCTCTCTCTGCTCACTCTCTGAGAGACGCTCTACTGACAAGCAAAACACATGGCACTACGCTGATAGACCCGGTGCCCTGGGAACTGGAGGGGCCACGTGGAGACCCGTCAGTGCTGAGATGCTTCTACTGTCACTGGATCCACAAGACTTTGCACCCACTGGCCTGTGGCCTTCCTCTATTCAGCTTCATTGCATGTGTTTCATGAATCTGAAGAGGAATTTATAGATTGGCATTGGACATACCAATCTAACCTCTAACCTCCTTTATAGATTCTGACCCCGACTTTCCCGCCCCTGGCCAGAGAGTCTCTACTTCTCGCTGGGTTTGATCATTCCTTGCAAGGGCCACACAAACCATACTCATGATCAGGGGGTTTATGAGGGAACTTAACAGGTTATAATTCAGGGTTAGTAATGCTCAGGATACAGTTCTTTGGTCAGGATCACCTCTTTTCAGCCATGCCCATAGGCACACCCCTCTCTGGTCCAGAATCATCACCACAATCAGTTTTAGCACTGATTCCTTCTTCCTTGTACTCATTGTTAGGAGTGTTAATTGTTATTATTTTAAAAATTGTGGCACAAATATACACAACAAAACATTCTCCATGTCAACAGCTTCTACGTGTATCATTGTCAGCACACAGTCTTACCTCTTTGCCTTGGTCCACGCCTTTCTCCGTCTGAGGCACGTACTTCTCTTGGCATCGACATCTTCCTGAGCTGGGCCAGGGGTTAACTGTTTGGCTGCCAACAGAAGGGGGGTGCCTCAAGTGCACCAGGGGGTGCTCAGAAGAAAACATAGACCTTGGAAACACGATGGAGCATCGTTCTACACTCACGCACATGGGGTAGACGAGAGTCAAAGATCTTGTTTTTTCCTTTCATTCTGTGAAGCTCTTCCCCTCCTGATAGCACTGTGGTCCCAGCCTACAGACTTCTCCCATCAAGGGTGTCAGTACATCCCATTGAGCAAGAGCCACACGTTCACTCCACATTGACTCACACAACGCCCTCAACATGTCCTGAGCTTGTGTGAGACATGCGACCCTGACTCACCTGTTGCCTTCTGCTTCCCCGTACACAGAACTATTACCACTGGGGAGTGCCCTCCTGTCTGGGGTTCCTACGCACATAGCAGTGGACTGGATGCCCCCCTGCAGGTCTGGTCTGTACTGTCATGTTGTGAGGTACCGGCCTCCACAATCGACCGGGTCCAAGGGGCAGTTGTGTAATTGAGGGGTGAAATCAAAGAGACTTGATAAAGCATGCAATTGCTCACCTCCAGGACAGCCATGACCTCAGCAGCCAGATCCACACCGAGAGAGAGAACATATTTCCAACTAAGGCTTATATACACGCAGGGGGCGTGCAAGCCCCCTAATTACAGGTCACCACATGCGTAACAGGAAGGAGTTGTCCAATAGGCATATGTGTAACAGGAAGGGGACGAGCTAAAGGTATACACGCAACAGGAGAGGGAAGCAGTTCGGCAAACATGGGACAGGAAGGCATGCAGGTAACAAGATGGGCGGGCTCTAGAGTCAAGGTGGCAGCCTAACCTTGGTCGTCCATGAGTTGGCTTGACCTTAGACTTTGGGCGCTCCTTCAGGGGAACAATCCGTTATCCTTATCAGAAGGGAGTGGGCCCTACTTAGGGTGGGACAGACTATGGGGTCTGACTGCTCTAGAGGGTAGATAACTTTCAGGAAGATAACCTTTAAGCAGTTGACCTCCGAGTGTCTAGACATTGACACGTGGTAGCAAGCAGCACCTTAGGTTTGGCAAATACTCTGGGGGGACAACCTAGGGGACAGCTGTTCTGTTTCCCACATCATATGCTACACAGGACACATGAGGGTAAATTTAAGATCACTCAAGTCAAGAGCAGCACCATCTCAGGACTCGCCTAACAGGATGGTCTCATGGGTGGCGGCAGTTTCTTTTGCTCGCAGTCAATCTTTTGAAAAGCAGCTGTGGGCACAGGCATTTTTCAGGCCTGAGCTGAGGGCAAACTACACTGTATCATGGAAGGCCCTGCCCTAGCGACGGGACGTGCCCATGACGATGGCTGTCATGTTGGTGGTGGTGAATGCCTGTGACCATCAGGTTTCACCAGAAGCTGACAATACCGTGAAGACTGTCACCGGTGTCACTGAACAACTTGCGTGGGAATCGCCAAACGGGACCCTAGTTTGCTGTGCTCACGTTCGCCCAAAACACAGTCATTTTTCCCCCAAGTACACACCCTGTTTCCAAAGTCCCCCTCTGAGTGTGGATGTTGGAGACACTCGTACGGGACAGGGTTTCCCCAGACGTGTTTTAAGGGCCCTTCCTCTAACCAATTCCGTGATCTCGGGTTTGAATTTTAAAAGCCAACTGTATTCAAATCTGCATTTTAAAATTAATTTTTTACATATTAGAACTGTGCACGCAGCCTGAAGTGCTGCACAAAGATTCAAATGCTCTCTGCCTGGGCCCACTTCCCCAGTGAGCGGCTGCTTCCACACGACTGTGTGCCCCCCACCCCGACACTCCTCTGGGTCCTGGGCCCCACTGCCTTCACACTGCGCTTTTCTGGGAGCTTCATTTCCTCTCCTTGTGCTCCCGGGTGTAGCTCTGAGGGGTCGGGGAAGCCTTCCCCAGGTCCACCACGATCACCTCCCTCGAAAACGTCACTCCTTTCAGCCGTCTCTTGGGGTCTTCTTCTTCGGGGAGCGCAAACCTCATCACGCTCTTACTCTGCAGGAGAAGGGACCAAACGGTATCAAGAGGGTCAGTTCGGGAAGGCAAGGAGTCTTGGTTTTCAAACCAACACGGGCTGTCCGCACGTTTTAGGGGAGAAGCAGAAGGTGTCTTGACCTAACAGAGGGCAGACTCCATCAACCCCATGTGTAGATTTCTATGGTTGAGAAGTGGCTGTACCAGCGGGCTTACCCGCCTGGGTGCACACAGTGACATGTGCACTTTGTGACCTGGGCTTCCCCCCCCCTACCCCCCACCCGTGACGTGGTCATGATAAACACCTGTTGGGCAAATGTAGGAGCCACCTGGGCCACGGTTCTGACTGGGACCCAGTGGGGGGCCTACGGAGGGAGGGCATGTGAGCTGTTCGTAGGAGGGGTGCCCTCCTACCCCTAGACAGCCCCACCTCCGCCCTGCCGCCCCACCACGAGGTCGCAGGAAGGCCCTGGCGATGTCCGAGTGCTGTGGTAGGTGACCTTGAATGGGTGCAGGGACCCAGGCCTCTGGTCCCCAGCTCAGAGGCGTGGCCTTGTGAACAGACATCTGATTTTCTTGTGTGGAGCGAGAGTTGGCCCCTGAGAGACTCCTCAAGGCCTCTGCTAGCCCCGGAAAGCTGAGGGGAACGCAGGGGCATTACGAAGGGAACCCCGACGTCAGCATGAAGAATGAGCATGTTTCTCGGCTTAGCACATGCATTTGAGCTAACATCATGGGCAGACGAATGGTTTCAAACTGGCTTGTGTGTGTGTGTGTGTGTGTGTGGATGTGTGTGTGTGTGTGTGTGTGTTGTTCCAGGTACAATCCTAAAGCCCAGGCAACACCATTCCTGATGGCTCTTCCTAGCAAAATACCCAGGAGCCCTGGGGGCGTGGTGGGTGACCAGTTGTGCTGCTCCCCGCAAGGTCAGCGGTTTGAACCCACCAGCCTCTCCGTGGGAGCAAGAAGAGGCTCTTTGCTCCTATTAAGATTGGTAATGTTGAAAATGCCCCGGAGCAGTCCTACCCTGCTCTGTAGGGTGCCGCTGAGTTGGAATAAACTCATTGGCAGTGAGTCTTAGGTCCGAGCGGAGCAATTTCCAGCCCAGCACCCTTGCTTCTCAAACCCATTGGATCTAAGCAAGAGGCCTGTCACCTCCTGGGCAGATTTGTCAGCATCCTGGGATTCTTTGTTCTCTGTGATCTTGGCCTGGGTGTCCTCCTTAGGCTGCAAGTACATGCCCAAGGCTGGGTTCACCACTTCCTCCCTCTGTTTCTGGATAAGAATGCCAGGCTTCGCCGGGGCGTCCATGAGATGCGTGAAGGTGCTCCTGGAAAGCAAATCAGCAGGTTTTAAACAAGACTCGTGCGCGGTCGCCACTGCCGCACAATACTGTCCTTCTCCCAAGCCCTGAGAGGCAGACCTACTTTTCTGGGCCTCCTGACGTGCCGGGCTCCCCGGTGTCCTCTGAACTGGCTTCTCCTAGACATTCACCGTCTGCGCCATCTTGACAAGTCTTTCTTTGGAAACTGAAAACAAACGAAACACAGAAAAGACTGGAGGGGCCCAATTGCGAGGAAGGACCGTCACGGGGGCGTCTCTCTAAAGCCCTGATGTGGGAAGAGTGGGGGTGGGGGGCTACGGCATCGTCCTTGTCCCTGCTGTTTGTAATCAATTGGCATGACTGCTAGATTTGTGCCCTGCCCCCACCCGGGTCTTGAAACTCGGATCCCAACCCCAATCCCAATCTCTCGGCATAGATCTGTACCATTTACACGAAAAAGCCATCAATAAGAGGAAGATGAAAAAGAGGCAAATCTGAAGGCTGATGATTAAGGTGAATACGATGGCCCAAAGGGTCATAGGGGTGGCAAGGAGATGCGTGCGCCCTCACAGCCACTGGGGGTTCCGCTCGGTGGGAATGTGGGCCTCTTGCTCTTCGGGTTTCCTAGAAACAGAGGGACGAAGGCCACGTTCACTCCTTGTCATCCTAGTGAAAGAGGCTGCGCTGGCCGCTGTTGGGTGGGGGGGAGCGCTGACTCACCCTGGCTCGTTCCTCTCCATAGGTGTGGTGGGGCTGAGGTGGCCCAGAGGGGAGCCAGAGCTGGGATGAGTGTGACCACTCAGCACCACTTCCCCTCGCCCCAAAGTCTGTCAGTCTCCAAGGGGAGAGGAGTCCGAGCAGGGGGAGCCCCATGGGCCCCCATTGTTCTCTCTCCAGTGACATCATAGAATCACAGGTTGGAGGCTCTTCCCAAGAGCAGGGCCAGGGGAAGAAGAACTGCCAAGCCGCTTCTGGGCTGTTCCCTCCCCTGTCCACTCCCCTCCTACGCCCCTGGGGCTTGGGCTTCGAGGCCCCGTGGCATTTTCTCGGCCATTCCCCAGACAACAATTGTTCTTGCTTCTCTCCAAACGCCTGGGCCTGCTCTCTTTCTGCTTCTTTCCTAGGCGGTGAACAAGTGGGCCACCTCATCCCTATTCTTGGTCTACCCCTGACATCTGGGTCCTCGGATGGGTAACACTGAAAGGCTGGCAGTGTTCTAGCCCGACCCTCGGAAGAAAGGTCTGGTGATCCACGTGCCAAAGCCTGACCATGAGAACCTACTGGAGCACAGTGTCACTCTGACACACATAGGGTCTCCAGGAGTTGCAGTCAACGCACCAGCAGCTGGTTAAGGCCTGAGATCAGGAATCAGCTTACCTCTTTGCATCTCCAGACCAAACAGCCTGTATCCATCCCTGGACACACAGACACCCACCCGGCAGCTCTAAAGACCACAGCTGAGCAAGTGAGAGCTAACAGAGTAGAGGTGAGATTTGCCTGAAGCCCGTGGCAGAGAGGTGGGCAAGGTTGTGGCACAGTGGGTGGAGGGTGGTAGACAGCCAGGGTTTTCTGATAGGAAAGGGAGGGTACCCTCTTGTGCAGCTGCTGGCAGCCACCTCCGGAGACGTCGGGGGTGAGCTCTGGGCATCTCTGGCTCCAGGGACACTGGCTGTCCTCCAGAAGGCAGGGACGGTGCCTTCTTGATCGTTGGAGGCTCCGCCGACAAGCCGAACTGCACAAATTTGCTGACTGGCTGATGTGTGTGTGAGCGGGCGTGCCTGTGTGCACACAGTGGGGCTAGTTGTCTGTTAGTTTGTCATACTGTGGTGACTTGTGTGTTGTCATGATGCTGGAAGCTATGTCCCTGGTATTTCAAATGCCAGTGCAATCACCCAAATGGAACACGAGAGGCATGAAATTCCATACACTACAGCTAATTGCATCAACCTGGATGAATTTTAGAGAAGCACAGTGCCGTTTCTTCAAGTTCAACTGAATCATAAGCAGAATTACTTGGCTGATGAAAGAATAAAGGAGAAATGACACTAGTTAAAAATTTCAGAATAACACCTATTCCAAGACACACCTCACCTGGCTAAATCATCAGAGAGACCCTAAGAACTCCCTGGGGGCCGCTAAATTAAATCATGTTTTAAGAATCGTTCAGAGAAAGATTTCAGACAGGCAGAACTTGCAGACAGGCAAAAGTTGACCATCCAAACAGAACAGCTAAAACAACACATTTTGGAACAGATTAGCTGACTAAGGTCAGCACACCATCTAGAGCGTCTCTAAAGTTGTTCTGCAGAAAGGGCAGGCCCGACCAGGTAGCTCTGTGAAGCGAGGACCGGGCCTGCCTGCCAAAGACCAGAACAAGTGTGTCCGACACCCCACGGTCAGCCCTGCCCTGGGAGAGCAGCTTCCCTTGCTGATAGGATCCATCTTGGAGAACTGTGCACACCCCCTATGAACATATAGCCCAGTCTATTCCAAGAAGATCCGACCTTTTCCCAGAATCTTAATGAACAGTATAACCTTCCTGTTGCACCTGATCCCCTAGCTGCAGAAAAAGGGCACAGAACACTGCGGGGGCCCACACCGCCTGCAGCTGGCTTTTCCTCTTCTCTTGCAAACTGCTTGCGTGTCCACTCCTGGCCATTCTTGGTAGGTAGAAGGCAGGAACTCCGTTGTGGAGCTAGGCTGGGGACGGTCCCACCCTCCGCAAGGAGAGTAGAATTGTGCCCCATGGGGTTGTCAGGGCTGTGGCTTTTCATAGATCGATCACCAGGCCTGTCTCCTGGGGCACCTCTGTGTGAGTTTGAACTGACAACCCTTTGGTTAGCGCTTAATCAACAGTGTCACCCAGGACTCTTTAAACCAGTGGTTCTCAACCTTCCTAATGCCGAGACCCTTCAACACAGTTCCTCATGTGGTGGTGAGCCCCAACCATAACATTATTTTCGTTGTTACTTCATCACTGTCATTTTGCTATTGTTATGAATCGTCGTGTACATATCTGATATGCAGGCTGTATTTTCTTTTCTTTTTTTAAAAATCATTTTATTAGGGGCTCATACAACTCTTTTTTTTTAGTATACTGTTGTTTATTTTTCTTTTTTTAAATCGTTTTATTAACTATCTCAGGGGCTCATACAACTCTTATCACAATCCATACATACATCAATTGTGTAAAGCACATTTGTACATTCATTGC